GGTTGAATGATGGCACAACCCTATGCAAATCAGATTTAAGGAGTCACCGGAATGACGAATGGAACTATGCAAATCAAATCTGAGTCACTGAAAAGACACATGATGCTATGCAACTAAGATATGAGAAAGTAGTTCGGAAAAATCCACGGTACTACACAAATTAAATATGAAAAGTAGTCCGGAGAGATGCACGGTGCCTTATAAGGAGACCAAGCCTTATAAGGAGTCCTTATAGGTCTTAGGCCTAACTCACACCCCAAAAGCTAGCTCAAAGGGAGGAGGATTGCCCAAGCCTTATAAGGAGTCCACCCATCTCATTAACCACCGATGTGGGACTTTTGTCATTCTTTAACACCCCACCTCACGCCCAGTGCTTAGCATCTGGTGCGTGGGCAATTTTGATTTTGGGAGTCCCAACATTGGGTGAGACGGGCCTTGCTCTGATACCACTTGTTGGGTTCTGAAGGGTGTGATTAGGGCGTCATGCAGAACCTTACAATTTGCAAATCATATAGTTGATAAATCAGTTAACAAAAACTTATACTAAAATTCAAAATATTATTATATCAAAACTAATATAAAGAAAAACATTGAAACTTTAGAGAGAATAAATCTCCCATAAACAAGACTCTTAAACGACTACATTGCGGATGTTATTGTTCTTGTGTTGGAAGCAACAAACCTATATTTATAGAGTTCTAAAACCTTTCCTACTAGAAAAGAACTAGCTACTCCAAAACCTTTTCCTAAAAGGAAAGAATAAACCAAATATGAAAGAATATTATATTTTCCTTTCAGGAAAAGTAAAAACATTTATGGTAATGTTTTGTCTTTTCTTTAAGGAAAAATAAATCTTAAATTATGGTAAGAAAATCAGGGCAAAACCCTAACAAATCTCCCCTTTTGGCTGGATTTTCTTGACAAAGCTTGATTTGTCTTCTTCATTGCATGATAATCTTGTTCTTCACAAAAATCTTCATCATTGTTGCTTGCCATGGTTAAAAATAAAGTTTAAAATATATGGGTTAAAAAATGGGGTTAAAAAAATATTTTTTACTTAAAAATTGCAGCAACAGGAATGTTGAAAATATGTTGAAAACTTCTTCTCCACATGTAGCTTGAAAAAAAAAATCTTCATTATCATCAAATTGATTACAAATTGATTTGAAACCATCTTGAGCCTGTCTTTAACCCCGTTGAACCATAGGATCACCGGATCTTTGAACCATGTGTTTTGATGCCATGTGAGAAATATAAGAAAAGAATATTATTAAATCGTTGTTGTGTACATTATTACATTGAGATCCTATTTATAGACCCTAGAATACAATCCTTTACCAAGTAGAATACTATTTAGTATTCCTATTTCTATTACTATTCCTATTCTAATAAAATTGTATAAACATATTCTTATTCTAATAGGATTGTATAAACATATTCCTATTCTAATAGGATTGTACAAATCTATTCCTATTCTAACAGGTGTGATGTTTTTGGTTCCAAAAATATGGGGATTGGAAGTTCTAGCCCTATAATCACTTCAGAACTTTTATTGGGAAGTTCAAACTATTTATCTTGGGCTTCCTCGGTTGAGCTGTGGTGCAAGGGTCAAGGTGTCCAAGATCACTTAACGAACATGACTTATATGGTAGATGTAAAGGCAAAGACTAGTGAGGAAGATGCAAAAGCCAAAGCACAATGGGAGAAAGTAGATGCTCAATTATGTAGTCTCCTATGGCGTTCTATTGATTCCAAATTGATGCCTTTGTTTCGCCCATTCCAAACGTGTTATACAATTTGGGAAAAGGCTCGTACTTTATACACTAATGACATATCTCGATTCTATGATGTGATATCTCGGTTGACTAACTTAAAGAAACAAGAATCTGATGTCTACTTGGGACAGGTACAGGCAGTCACGGAGGAATTCGACACGTTGATGCCAGTTACTACGAATGTGGAAAAACAACAAGAACACAGACAAACATTGTTTCTAGTTCTTACCCTTGCTGGACTTCCTCCTGACCATGATTCTGTGCGTGATCAAATTTTAGCTAGCCCTACAATTCCTACAATCGATGAATTATTCTCTCGTCTACTTCGTGTTGCCGCGCCTCCCAGCCACAAAGTAGTTTCATCACCTACCATTGACTCATCTACTCTCGCATCTCAAACCATAGAAAAACGAGCATATCAATCTATGGAGAATCAACGAGGAGGAGGTCATCTTGGAAAACCTCGATCCAAGTGTAGTTATTGTCATAAGTCTGGACACACTCGTGACATATGTCATACTTTGCATGGTCCACCACCCAGTTATGATCCTGTTGCTCTAAAGGAATATAATGAGTTCCTTTGTAAACGTGCAAGTAAGCAAACATCTCCACAAGAAGCATTTGTTGCTCCGCCTAATCGACCATCCCAAAATGCTCATATTGCTCAATCAGAATATGATGAGTTCCTTCAATATCGAGCAAGTAAGCAAACGTCTCCACAAGTAGCTTCGGTTGTTCAACATGATGTTGCTGTTGCGGGTAATTCTTTTGCTTGTGTTTCACAGTCTAATACTCGTGGATCATGGGTCATGGACTCCGGCGCTTCTGATCATATTTCTGGTAACAAATCACTTATGTCAGGTATTGTTTATTCATAATTTCTTCCTGCTATTACTTTGCCAATGGGATCCAAACAAAACCAAAAGGGGTTGGAAAAGCCACACCCCTATCTTTTGTCACTCTAGACTCTGTTCTTTATGTCCCTGGTTCTCCTTTTAATCTGGCATCTGTTAGTCGTTTGACACGTGCTCTACATTGTAGCATAACCTTTTTTGATGATTCTTTTCTCATGCAGGACCGCAGCTAGGGACAAATGATTGGCACATGACATGAATCACAAGACCTTTACTATCTTACCTCTTCAAATTCCTTCACAACATGCTCTGTTACAGATCCTCCGGACCTCATTCACAAACGTTTGGGACATCCGAGTCTATCCAAACTGCAACAGATGGTGCCTAATTTATCTAAATTAGATTGTGAGTCATGTCAACTTAGGAAACACACTCGTGCCACATTTTCACGTGGTACCGATGGGCATTCAGAGTATTTTTTCATTAGTTCATTCTGATATTTGGGGTCCTAGTAGAGTTAGTTCCACCTTAGGATTTCATTATTTTGTTAGTTTCATTGATGATTATTCGAGATGCACTTGGGTTTTCTTAATGAAAGATCGTTTTGAGTTATTTTCTATAGTCAAAAGTTTCTTTGCTGAAATACAAAATCAGTTTGGTGTTTCTATTCGTACTTTTCGTAGTGATAATGCCTTAGAATACTTATCATCCCAGTTTCAGGAGTTTGTCTCACCAAGGAATTATTCACCAAACATCTTGTCTATACACTCCTCAGCAAAAGAGTCAGTTCCACCTTAGGATTTCGTTATTTTGTTAGTTTCATTGATGATTATTCGAGATGTACTTGGGTTTTCTTAATGAAAGATCGTTCTGAGTTATTTTCTATTTTCAAAAGTTTCTTTGCTGAAATACAAAATCAGTTTGGTGTTTCTATTCGTACTTTTCGTAGTGATAATGCCTTAGAATACTTATCATCCCAGTTTCAGGAGTTTATGTCTCACCAAGGAATTATTCACCAAACATCTTGTACATACACTCCTCAGCAAAATGGTGTAGCGGAAAGAAAGAATAGGCATCTCATTGAGACTGCTCGCACTCTCCTCATTAAATCCCATGTTCCGTTGCGTTTTTGGGGTGATGCAGTCCTTTCATCTTGTTATTTAATTAATAGAATGCCCTCATCTTCTATTCAGAATCAGATTCCACATTCCATATTGTATCCTCAGTCACATCTCTATTCTATCCCTCCTCGTGTATTTGGGAGCACATGCTTTGTTCATAACTTAGCCCCAGGAAAAGATAAATTAACCCCTCATGCTCTTAAATGTGTCTTTCTTGGTTACTCTCGAGTTCAAAAAGGGTATCGTTGCTATTCACATGATCTCCGGCGATATCTTATGTCTGCCGATGTAACATTCTTTGAATCTCAACCTTACTACACATCTTCTGATCATGCTGATATCTCTGAGGTCCTACCCATACCTCAAGTCTTGCCTGTACCGACTTTTGAGGGACCTACAGTTACTTCTCCATCTCCAGTTGTAGTGCCACCACTCCTAACTTATCATCGGCGTCCACGTCCAACAATAGTCTCAAATGATTCATGTCATGTGTCGGATCCTGCTCCCTCTGCGGCCTTGCCTCCTGCTAGCCAATCGATTAACTTCAAAGAGGTACACGATCTACTCGAAATAATAATCCACATTATACTTTCTTGAGTTATCATCGTTTATCTTCACCCCATTATGTCTTTGTATCATCTTTGTCCTCTATTTCCATCCCTAAGACTACATGAGAAGCACTTTCTCACTTTGGATGGAGGCAGGCTATGATTGATGAGATGTCTGCTTTACATTCGAGTGGTACTTGGGAACTTGTCTCCCTTCCTACAGGTAAGTCTACTGTTGGTTGTCGTTGGGTTTATGCGGTCAAAATTGGTCCAGATGGTCAAGTCGATTGGTTTAAGGCTCGCCTTGTTGCCAAAGGGTATACTAAGATATTTGGGCTAGATTATAGTGACACTTTCGCTCCTGTGGCCAAAATAGCATCTGTCCATATTTTTCTATCTATGGCTGCCGTTCGTCATTGGCCTCTTCATCAGTTGGACATTAAGAATGCTTTTCTGCATGGTGATCTTGAGGAAGAAGTCTATATGTAGCAACCACCTGGTTTTGTTGCTCAGGGGTAGTCTAGTAGCCTTGTATGTCAATTGCGTCGGTCACTCTATGGTCTGAAACAGTCTCCTCGAGCTTGGTTTGGAAAGTTCAACACAGTAATTCAGGAGTTTGGCATGACTCGTAGTGGATCTGATCACTCTGTGATTTGTCGGCATTCAACACCAAATCTGTGTATTTATTTGATTGTTTACGTTGATGATATCGTTATCACCGGCAATGATCAAGTTGGTATCGCTAATTTGAAGCAGTATCTCTTTCAGCATTTCCAAACTAAAGACCTCGGCATACTGAAGTATTTTTTAGGTATTGAGGTTGCTCAATCTATGTCAGTTTATGACTTCCCCTTGTGTCTAGATCAGGTATTGTTATTTCTCAACGCAAGTATGCTTTAGACATTCTTGAGGAGACAGGAATGATGGGATGTAAACCCATTGACACTCCTATGGATCCGAATGTTAAACTCCTTCTAGGATAGGGGGAGTAACTCAGTAATCCTGAAAGGTATAGACGGTTGGTTGGAAAGTTGAATTATCTCACGGTGACTAGACCGGACATCTCTTTTCCTGTGAGTGTTGTAGTAAGTTTATGACTTCTCCTTGTGATAGTCATTGGAATGCAGTTGTTCGTATTCTGCAATATATAAAGTCAGCTCCTGGTAAAGGACTACTCTTCGAGGATCAAGGCCATGAGCATATCACCGGATATACAGATGCTGATTGGGCAGGATCACCCTTTGATAGACGTTTGACATCCGGATATTGTGTTTTAGTAGGAGGTAATTTGGTGTCATGGAAGAGTAAGAAACAAAGTGTGGTTGCTCGATCCAGTGCAGAAGCAGAATATCTAGCAATGGTTGTAGCAACTTGTGAGCTAGTTTGGATCAAACAGTTGCTTGGAGAACTGAAGTTTGGAGAAACCGGTCATATGGAACTTGTGTGTGATAATCAAGCGGCCCTTCATATCGCATCAAATCCAGTGTTTCATGAGAGGACTAAGCACATTGAGATTGATTGTCACTTTGTGAGAGAAGATAATGAAGTCAAATGATCAACTTGCAGATATCTTCATCAAGTCCCTTACCGGTCCTTGTATGAATTACATTTGTAACAAGTTAGGTACATATAATTTGTATGCACCAGCTTGAGAGGGAGTGTTAGAATAGAATAGATATACACAATCCTACACATAATATGAATAGTTTATAGTCTCCTAGTTGGTAAGGAATTGTATCGTAGTGTCTATATATAGGGTTCTCTATGTAATAATTAAAACACAATTCAATAATATTTTTCTCATATAATTTCTCACATACTGAATATGTGAAATATGCATGATAAGACTACTAAATCGAATGGAAGACCCTAGCTTGATTCCTTGAACCGAAGCTTGAAGCTAAATAACCCCAGTTCTTGCTTTAGAGGAGTTGAGACGTATTGATTCTAATCTCTGGGTATTGGATGTTAATGGAAAGGTTTAGGTCCACTAAGTTTCCCTTAATCTCTGTGAGAAGTATAGGAGAAAAATATTATTGAATTGTGAATTGACATTATTACATGGAGACCCTATTCTAGACACTATAATACAATCCTTTACCAAGAAGGATACTAAATATTATTCATATTCCTATTCCTATTCTAAGTAGGATTGTGTACATCTATTCTTATTCTAGCAGCCTCTCTTAGAATAGGCTAAAACGATATAGTATAGGAATTAAAAGAGTAGAAAAAGATCAAAACAACCATGAAGGAAAAACTGTCGGCAGCTTTTACGAGGGCCATCTATGGTCTGTGGATTGAACTACGGGCCATAGATTCCTCTCATAGAAATTTGGCCTAAATACTGAGTTTCTGAAGTTTGATCTACGGGACTCATTTATGATCCGTAAACGTAGTCCGTAAAAGTCAGACAATAATCGAATTCTAGTACTTTGATAATCAAGCCCATCTACGACCCGTAAAAGCATCTACGATCATACTTCAGCCACTGTTGCATCTTGTTGTTGGCATAAGTTGTAGATGTCTGGATATATTTGTTTCAACGGTCCATGACCAATCCATTTCTCCTCCCAAAAAGATGTGTAAGTTCCCAAAAGAAACACGTTGCAAGCTTATGATAAAAGGAAAGGAGCTTGGCTAATGGCATTCTTGTGGATTTTTTAAACCAAGTTTACGACTGATTTTGATGTTTAATTTATCTATTGTTAAGATCAGCTCATACAATCTTCAAGTTGTCCAAAATGAGCTAATTTAGCTCCTGAAACTAGGTCAACAAAAATAAACAAAATTGTGGAGACTTTGTAGCTTTTACTTCCCTTCACACACTTTTTCATCCCCTGTCTGCAATTTCGCAAACCTATGCAAACTCCCTGTAATCTGTTGATCATTCTCCTATGTTAATACCAAACCCTACTGGTAAAGTGTGTTGAGTGAAAGTAGACAAGGAAGGGAAGTAAATTTTCTTTGACATTGTACTACTTTCAAATATGAATGGTGATAAGACCTCGGTTCAATTGTAGCATAATCTCTTGTTGGTTTTAACCTACATCTAGTTCAAATACCACTGCGATTGTACTTCTTGAAGGGAGGATTAAAACACGTTATACACATGGTACTTGATGGGATTTATCTTTTCAAAGCTTTATCAACTTTACTGTATTAGTGATTCCTGATGAGATGTCTAACCCTCACTTTTTTTGGTTCCGAAGGTCATATGTAGTAATTTCTCATCCTATTGAACCATATTCTCAAAAGGTTTTCAAATCAAAAGAATCATATTGTGTATAGGAAAGCTTCTAGGTGTTATAACTTGTAACGAGCAAAGTTTTCGACTGTTAATTTCTATTTTAGATTGATTATGCAGTAATTGTTTTGTTTCAGTTTACTATTGGTATTGTCTATCTGATGGTTAGGTGATAGCCTCCTTTGTTACTTGATTGGAATGTTATAACAATGGCTACTCTTGTTTTCATTTCTCTTTCTCTATGTAGCCTTCATGGAGACACCTCTATCTACTTCGTTTAGTAGATGTAGAACTCTGGGATGACCTCTGTTGGGTTGATGTTTTACTCTTTCAATACTTTTCACCGTCTGTTAGAAAAAGTAGAAAAACACTTTTACATCCGTGGTCTGAACTTTATCTTCTTGCAGGATTTGATATTTCAAGCTGACTGGTCTCTCATTTTTACAGCTTTCGGCTCCTGTCAATAATATGGAAATGTTTGTTACAGAGTAGCCTGGGATCTAATATGCATATCAAGCCAAAAGTTGGAGCAGATGGAGATATCATCTACTTCATCTATTCACTTCTTTTGAAGCCGAGAATGTACTAGATGTATAATCAAGAAAATTAAGATTCCACTAATATATCATGTATAACGAGCTTATCTTTGATGTATGCTTCTCTTCCTCCCCCACCTCCTCCCCTGTTCCACCAATTTCCGCAAAAAGATTAGAGAAAAAATAAAGAAATGGATGTAGTCCAGTGTTGGA